AAAATCTAACAGTGTTTATATTTTTCAAAATTTAAGAATGGGTATGAAATACCCACAGCAACTTACACATGAATGGAAGGCCATTTGCTGTGAACAGACTTCTGTGGGTTTCCATGCTGATGCAGTGCTTCTCATAGTCAAAATACTAAGCTATGCATATATTGTGCAGGTCTTCTAGCAAAAAATGTCTGAATTTTTACCTTGGAACACTGGAACGATAAAGCGCTTTTTATCTACAATAGGGTCTGCTGTGCATTGCCTATCAGTGTTAAGCAAATTGCTAATAACGCTTAGTGTTTTATAGCAGCTTCTTTCTAAGTGAATCTGCATAGGGAGTGATTAAATGCTACAGGGTACTACTCTGGCATTTACATTTTAAAGCCATTTCTGAAACCGAAGTCTCAGATCATCCCTAACGCTTGTTTCCAAGCTCTCTTTTTCATTTTTCCATGTCAGCCATCACCTGTATTAGTTTCTCCACCAGCCATCGAGGCTGTTCAAGAAGCACTTGGAAAGTAATTACAGCTCTAATCTTTAGGTGGAGTTTGCAACTACGGGTCTCTGTGAACGGGACAAAAGTAGATCCACCAAGAAGCCATTTTCTGGCTTTGATAAAGGGATGGGGACAGACGTGACTGGGATCAGCTGTGAGGACAAGGTTGCATTTCTGTCAACATGCAGCAGCTCGACAGCATCTGTGATGGCTTCATGCTCTTATAGTGGAGATCGGAGGCTACCTGGGCTGGTGTAAAGCCTGCTGGTGTTAAGTTAGCCTACTGAAATCTGTTAACGAATTTGTGCTGGCAGAGTAAGTTCACAGAGAATCTGTCCTCTGTGTCATGCTGCCACAAAGCCTTTGATGTGCTGCGTGGAGCGCTGCAACCAGATCTATTGTATCATTAGAGCATAGCAGCCATCACTGGCTCATCCCAGGTGTGTCAGCTATCTGGGTCCTGGCACTCTGAGATGTGTGGGTCACCGCAGCACTTGCAGTACCTGTTCTGGACTTGGAGAGTGGCACCAGTCACCTAAAGGCAGTGGTGGCTGTTCCCAGAGCCACCTGAGGCATGCCATCACTCATCTTACTGACAGCAGTTTTGGCCAGAAACTGCCCAACAAGGGCTGGCAGTCATGTCCCAGCAGCCAGTGCCTCATTACCAGTCATTTGTTCACTTATGGCAGCCTTCTTGCTTACCTCAGGTACCAGAACTGACAGAATTTATACTGGAAAGACTCAGAAGTACTTTAGGCCAGAAATATTTTTAAATTCTTCTATACACGTAAAAATAAAATCAAGTTATGTGAGGTGACCCAAGCAGCTGTTAAAGCTGGTTTACCAACAGCATCACCTACTGCAGCACATTTTCACTGTTCCATGCAGGTGGAGCATTACGTTGGTGAAATTAAAGGTGGCCTGAGACCAGCCATGAAACTCACAGTCATAGGAATGGTACACTCCAACCCCAAGAGGTAGGTAAGGGGGCTGGGGGCAAGTTCACCCTGTCACACATGCTCCTACCTGTCTTCTGAATTTAAAAGATTTCTTGAGGGTCTGTGCTTTTTGGAGGAAGAAAATCAAACAGATGCATAATTTATGGCTTTAATTTTCCTACTCTTAGGCTAAGATTAAAAGAGCAAGCAAGAATTCACTGTTCAGCCTTCCTGGCTGCCCTGTCAGGATTTTCTGTTTCTTGCTCTTACCTAATGCGAACCAGAGGGGGCACACAAGTGGCATTTCTCCTCCAGGAAAAGGTGCTATCTTGAACCTGCGTCTTGGTCATCCGCTGGGGCTGGAATCATCAGCATTTAAAAACTCGTGGTTTTGGCACAGGAGGTGCGGGTTCATTGCTGTGTTTAATCTGGATGACATCAATTATGCTTATCATTACGCTTTCTTGCAGCTACAGTGATCAACTCCAGTGCTTCCAGTGACTTTGCTGTAACCTCTTTCAAGACACAAATTAGAATTGGCTCATGAACAACTGTTGGTTTGATTTCAGTCACAAGAGAGGGAAAGCAACATCAGAAGTCACTAGCATCCAACTGGAAATTGGAGGAGAAACAAAGACCAGCCTGTTCACATACCTTTCCGCAGCTTCTAAGCCTGTAAAATTCCTGTGTTTCAGCGTGACAAGAAATCAAGGGCTGTCTCTAGTCTTTACAGTCATCTTTTCCACATCATTTTATCCTTCTGAAAAACCCTGTTGTTTAATTGGTATTTTTTTCAGCTTTTCAGTGACTCTGCTTTGTGATCCAGTGGATGTAAACAAAGATGTTGGGCTGTTATTTACAGTAAACTTTAGCGACAAATCCATCACCCGAAATGCAAGAATTGCTGGGAAGTGGGGAAGAGAAGAGAAGACTATTCCCTACTTCCCATTTACAGCAGGTGACACATTTAAGGTAATTTTTGGGGTACTATGAATAGAGTGGAGAAAAGGAGGGGAGAAAGGCTGAGGGCTACATGTATGACCACAAATAGCTAACTGTTGACATTGGTGGGTTAACTGGTCTAGTATGGCACAGAGAGTAACACTTCAAGCCCTTCTCTAGTCTTAGAGAGAGAATTCACTATAAGGAGCTTTACAGAATCATCTCAGCAGAGGGTAGGTTATTTATTAGGGGCATTTTAGAAGAATGGGTAAACTTTGTGCTTCACTATCCCCATCACATGGGGTTCTAAGTCCACGATGGCAAAATCAACTCTGATGCTGATCTCTAACACTCTCCCCTGTCCTTTTCCATTGCAGATGGAGCTCTTATGTGAACACCAGCAAATACGAGTCTTGCTTGATGGACGGCAGCTCTGTGACTTCACTCACCGCGTTCAGCCCCTGAATTTGGTGAAAGCTTTGCAGATCTCAGGGGACATCAAACTTACCAAAGTGGCTTGAAAAAAAAAATGAGAACACAATATCACCAGGGGGCAGAGGCAAATGTACTTTCTTCTGTCTCAGAAATGTTTTATCTTTCCCCCCGACTGATTCTGGAGAGTGTTGAATGTGTTTGAAATACACACTTCTTTTTCTCATACACACTCAGGAATTTCAGGGCTGTGGCTGGTCCTGATTTACTCTCCTGGTAAATCAGAGCGCCTTTGCTGACAAACTCTTTTGGCCTCCCAAACGGCAACATTTATGGTGCTATGCAGTATCTCACATCCCCTAACCCCCCTGGCATGTCAGCTGGTGGAACTCAGTCCTCTGCAGTGGAGTGGCTGTTACTCTTGTGACTAGAACTGGGCAGTGTGCAGGTGGTGGGTCTTTGAGAAGAGAAGCAGGAGATTTTCATATAAGCGAATAATGGAGCCTGGTGGGCCCCAGCAGGGTCCACATTATCAGGAGGAATTGGTTTTCCTGGAAGCTTTGCTCAATCAGCACAAGGCCATCTGTGCTTCCCAGTACAGAGCAATAAATGCCTTACCAGCATCCCTGTCTCTTGCAGGTAGCATGAATTGAAAGGTTTCAATACCTGTGGATTTCACAGTTTTCTCTGGACCAGCCCTAGGAAATGGTATCTGTAGCTCAAACTGCATTGCCCATTCTTGTATCTAATTAAAACTGCATCTTTGCTGGCAAACTTCTTTACCAGCTCTCTTATATATTTGAATGCATGTGAGTGTTGTGCTGTTATTTCATTGCTGTATATTTAGAAAAAAAGTCCTAAGTAAATGGCTATTTTAATACATATAAAAGCATATATTATAGCTGCTGTCTTTGGCTCTGTTATGATTGGTTGGTTATAACACATGAAGGGGAAAGTTTTTAAATGAAGAGATTTTTTTGGTTTTGGTACATAGAGAACAAAAAATCTGCAACGAGGTGGTTCTGGGGATAGAGGGCTATCAAATTCCTCTGTAACTTCAGGGAAGATGTATAGCATGCTGTCTTCAGAGGGATTTTGGAGTTTCTGCAGAACCTCACTGTCAGATACAGGTACTCAGATAACATGAGGAATTTTATCAAAATAGTATGTCAGCAGGCTGGTTGGGTGTTTTAATCATCTTATACATTCCATCATACCCTCTGGTGTTGTGGAGAATGACTCAGTTTCTATATAAATCTAAATTTACAGTGTATAAACCCATCATTTTCATATACTCAAACTGCCTTCTGAGAAAAATCATGTTTAAAGAGCACAGGAGATTCGAATGCACCAAACTTTTTTTAAAAAAATTAGTGATATCGAAGTCAAGATTAGTAGACAAATAATGGAAGATTTAATGGCTTAAAATAGAAAAAGCAATAGTCATAACTGCTATTAGAGCTTTCAGTCCTGATGGTGTTCCACATAAATGGACTTACTGTCATAATCAGGAGGAAAAGTCTCATTTCTATGGCTGAGTGGTTTTATCCAATATATTCAGCACAGGCATTTGTCTGGAATAACTGTCACTGGTCTGATTTGATACTCAGGATCCTGTACTGCTGTGGGCCATTACCAGCAAAAGAATAATTTTATACTGGAGAGAAAGATCCTTTGGCCTTTTCCAACCTAACAGAACCAAATGGTAGAGCAGAGAGATGGACAGACAGACACTTGGTTTGTTTTGCATTAGTGATTATCCTAGCAGCTGGATTGTGGCTTAGCACAAGACTCTTGTGTATACCAAGAAAGGCAGCCTTAGACACCAGGACCTTTCATGACTTTGATTCAGTCAGTCTTAACTAATTAAGTTTATAAGCCCCTTTATAAAGGGGAAGGGAACACAGCATTTCAGCTTTAGGATAAAGCACAACCTGAATCTGTCAAATATAGACTGAATACTTGTACAAAAGTAGTTATTTTCTTCCATCTTGGAATATTGTATCTCATTGTTTCTTTGTAAAGCCCTGTTTGCCTGTATCCACCTGTTATCTTTTGTTAGATGGTTAAGTTCTCGGTGGGGAATTATTCTGGATCCACATGACTTCTAGGCACCTGGGATGCTGGTCTGTTGGGAATTGCTGGGTGCTATGGAGATACAAATAACAAAAATAGACTATCTGAGAGCAAAACAACAGTCCCGGACAATGAGAGCAGGAAACTTGGTCACAAATGTGACTCATCATTTGGCATGGAGTCCGCCTTACTCATGTCAGTGGTTTAATTGCCTCAATCCACTGTGCTCGCTCTGCCTTGCAGCTGGCCTGGATATAATAATGAATGTCATTTTTGGTGATGATTTTGAAGAGATTGCCTTGCACATTGCCCTTCACTCCTGCAGAGAAAAAATATGGCAGATCAGGAAGCTGCACAGAGAAATGCTTTGTGGCAGATGTGAAGCTTCATAAAGAAGACTTTTAATTTAGTGAATTAGTCTTTGATTTTCCTTCTGCAAAATGAAGATCGAGTATAGACACCCCTTACAGAGACTGTATGAACTACTGTGCACTATGCATCATATATAAAATAGCCACTATTTAGACAGAGAATCTTACTTGAGTTATACAATGGAGTGATAAAATCCTGACCAGTTTGTGCAGTAGATGAGATTTGCTTACGCCCATCTCCAGGTTCCTCTTAGCAACCGGCTCTATTGTTCATGCCCCCTCTCCCCCTCCACCTTATCTTTTCAGACCCTGTCTTTTGTCTTTAGAAAGATGTTCCCTACTTAAGATCCACACACTGTGCTTACTGTCATAAAATAAATTGCTTTAACAGCAGAAACACTTATCTGCGAGGGTGAAGTTCTGGACAAATGCCTAAGCTAAGCATATTTACGAGCAGAACTGGTTTTCGTACTGCCATCTTTAGGTTTCCCTTACATTTGGGTTCTAGCAGATCGAAAAGGAAAAGGTAATAGCATAAGTAGAGAGAACATACAGAAAAGGGATGGCATCAGGGGATGACTCAAGACCGAGTTAAACAACATCCAAAAAGAAACTGTTTCCTCTTTGTCTGTTAACTCAGGAACATTAATCAATGTTCTAGGACTGTCTCAAAGATCATCTGACTGAGAAAAGCCCTTAAGAAGGGAACACCCAAGATAAGTGGAAATAACCCTAAAAAAGTCCCTCCTGGTGTGGACAACCCAGCGCTATGGGGATTTTTTACCATGTGCCTCTTCCCTTGCTTGCAAAGGGAGAGGAGAGGCCAGCCCCCTTGTGTGTACAGACAGCTACACACAAACCCACACCTGAAGACTGCATTGCTATGGCATAAATATGTATGTATGAACGTTTAGAGGCTCATGCTTACCTGCTGGGACCCCATTATCCTCCAGAGCTGACACAAGACAGCCACGAAGAGAAAATCCACCTACTGGCCTGTTTTCTTCCTGCAAAGAAAAAGGAAACGAGGCTTATTGGGAAAATATCATTATTAGAATGATTTCCAAGATCACATCAAGTCATTTTATGAAGGTGGAGATGTAATACCAGTCTTTCCAGATATAAAACATCCATGTCACAAGATAAGTCAATTAAGACACGTAATTAAATGCATTACTATGTTGTTTCAGTCTTAGATGTTTGACGTATCTGGGAACGGTGGAGATCAATTAAAAGCACAAGGATAGGATAACAATTACATTTCAAACTTATGTATGGTCTTATCAAGAACAATCCATATTAAAATATATTATATATTTTCTGCAAGCTTTTAGCTTGCTGCTTTTCACTGAGAACATATGGGAAAAATTTGACTGGTTTCACCAGTAGGCTGGTGCCCTTGTCTGATCTTCAGATTCTGCAGGCTGAGTTTATGGCATTACAAAGGTGAGGTGCAGTGCAAAATAAAAAAAACCACAAAGAAACAGGCAACAGAAAATGAACCATCTCCATAAGCTCTTTTCACTGTTATGGTGTTTGTGTTTTCTTTAAAAAGACACATAAAGCATTTCTCTACATGTTCTTTTAGCAACCTGTTGACCTTTGGGATACCCTACACACCTGTGGTGGATGCCCTTCTGGCATATGCCCTTCTGGGTTGCTCACATTGGTTATTATATCGATTAAGATAAATTCAGCTATTCCCTGAGCAAGCCTAAAACTGAGTACCTGTAATGCCTATAGATACTTCGGCGTTAAGGAGACCCTCGCCAATGTTGGAACAAAGCCATGAAAAATCCCAGTAGCAGTATTACCCTCTAGTGGTGGGATGTCAGCCCAGAAAGATCACAGCCCAGAAAGAATCCCTGCAGGAGCATGGTCCCAGACTGTGTGGGTACAGAAGACAAATCCCAAGAAGACTTGGCTAAGGAAAAGGAATCTCACTGGGGAAAGACAGGAGGGAAGATATAGGGATAGGAAATCCTACAAGGACAATCTCCCAGGGCAAGGTGAGATAGGTCTTAATTCCCCAGGAAATGAATAGAGGAACTCAAAAGGAGATTTGAGTAAGAGAAACATCTACAGCATAATTTTACTTTCATTATAATGTTCAGGTCTGTAAGAGGATTTCTGGGGGTAGTAAATCCCCACTCACCTACCTTAGTGGGGTCATAGTAGTGTAAAAAAGCAGGATCAGCTCTCAAAACAAATCTCCTCACCTTCCAGTTTTTCCTCTTGTGCCCCTGCAAAACAGAAGAATTAAAGTTACCACTAGTAAATATCTCCTGAAATGGCCATTTCCCTGCAGGCTGTAGGAGACACCTAAATAGTTACTGAAAATAAGAGGGTTTTGAGCCAATAGAGAAAAATATTTTCTGACATCTTAATAACTCCCAGAATTTTCTGCTTAACATCCTTCTTCATACATTGATAACTCCTTCCGCCTTCCCTTCCTTGTGCTAAGAATCAAGAAAACAGAGTGACAGGACCAGGTGATTATATCCCTAATTCCTTCTCTTAATTTCTTAATTGAGCAGAGAAGAGATTCAGAGCAGCCGTGTGGAGAAGGACTTGAGGGTGTTGGCTGATGAAAAGCTTCACATGAGCTGGCTTCAGTGTGTGTTCACATCCCAGAAACCAACTGTATCCTGGGCTGCATCAAAAGAAGTGTTACCAGCAGGTCAAAGGAGGTGATCCTGCCCCTCTACTCTGCTCTTGTGAGACCTCACTTGAAGTATTGTGTACAGTTCTGGTGTCCTCAACATAAAAAGGACATGGAGCTGCTGGAGCAAGTCCAGAGGAGGGCCACGAGGATGATAAGAGGACTGGAGCACCTCCCGTATGAAGACAGGCTGAGAAAGTTGGGGCTGTTCAGCCTGGAGAAGAGAAGGCTGTGTGGAGACCTTATAGCAGCCTTCCAGTATCTGAAGGGGGCCTATAAGGATGCTGGGGAGAAACTCTTTGTTAGGGACTCTAGTGGTAGGACAAGGGGTAATGGGTTTAAACTTAAACAGGGGAAGTTCAGGTTAGATATAAGGAAGAAGTTCTTCACAGTGAGGGTGGTGAGGCACTGGAATGGGTTGCCCAAGGAAGTTGTGAATGCTCCAACCCTGGTAGTGTTCAAGGACAGGTTGGACAGAGCCTTGGGTGACATGGTTTAGTGTGAAGTGTCCCTGCCCCTGACAGAGGGGTTGGAACTAGATCATCTTAGGGGGTTGGAACTAGATGATCTTAAGGTCCTTTCCAACCCAAACCATTCTATGATTCTATGAGATACATCAAGTTTTCCCACACTAAAATCACAGCTCATGGTACAAAGCTCCAGAGTAGAAATGTGGCCATGTGGTGCATGGTAGGGTTCTCTCTGCAGGTGGCTGCGTTATGCTTTGAAACAGCATGATTGATCCTCATCTTGTTGATAGCAAGGATTGAAAACCAAGTCTTGTAGACTAAAGGTGGGATCCTTTAAAGAGGTCTTTCTTGTGCCCAGAGAAAACAGGTCTCACCATTACCAGAGCATCCATGTGTACATGAGTGACTATCCAGAGGTAAATGTCTACGCCATGCAAAAGTCAATCTACTCAGCTTTGATATTTGTCTGTAGCCAGCAGAATTCCACAGCTGCTCACATGACTTGGATGGGACAGGTTAGACCAGAGGAACAAAGGATCTGCTTGGAAGTGTATGCAATGCCTACGATGGGGTTTGGACTTTGGGTGGGGCTTTTGCTTTTGATACTACTTTATACCTTTCAGTACAGACTCAATATATATGGAATACCCAATTAATTCTGCTTGAGCAGCAAGTTACATAGGTCATTTCTTTATAAGTAGACATTTTTCTCCGCATGATCTGTGATAGTATTACTGATAGGCAAATAAGCTCTGCTGGCCACAACTCTCCAGCCATGCCCATATAAATCACGTTTATTCTCTAGGAAGCCCTCAAGAGGTGTCATTTTTCTTGTTTCCCGGTGGAGGTTCAAAGATGGTATTTACCTGTTTCACTAAGAACCCTTGCTTCATAATTGTGCCGCTTAATTCAGAGATGTTAAATTGTAGCTCTTCCTTGGAACTGATGTTTTTCTTACTGCTCTCAGCCTGCAAAATAGGGAAAAGATGGTTCCACTTCTCTGTTGAATCTAAACACACTTTTAAGTACAAAGTTCTGCATTTTATTTTCTTTGAGTTGCTTTTAGCTTGTATTTCCTCAGTAAATTCTACTCCATAGCCCTGCTGCTCAGCTTTGTAGATCCAAGGTTTACAAGCAACAAATTACAGCTGTAAAGCCTACACATGCACTGGGCCTTGAGTGTTAGCATAACTACAGCCTCTCTTAAATGCAGACACAGCACTGCACTTGAGGGACACACCCCTTTTAATGCCCAATTATGTAATTTGTAGATCCCTCCATATCCATGTAGCTATTTGTCTACAGCAAAAGTGCAAGTGTTGGCACCCTTAAAGGCCTAGGGTTGCTCCTTCTGTGTTTGCTTTCACAGCCTGCATATTTTGTCTTTGTTTGCACACTGTTTGTGTCCCCTTTACCACTGCCCAAATCAAGTGTGTGATGAGAGGCAGGAGAGGTGCTTCTGTGGGCAGCTGCATCACTTACAAACATGTACAGTGCGGTAGAGTCATCGAGGAACTGCTCAGAGAGGTTGCTGAAGCGTGTGGCCTCAGTGCTGCGGGTTCCCACAGGCTTGATGAAGTTCTCCTCCATCAGCATGGATGCCAAGGTGATGGCCTCAAATCGTGACACAGCAAAGCTATTGGAGATGAGCCAGTCCACCAGGGCAGAACCTGCAGGGAGAAAGGCAGTTCTCATACCTAGACAGTGTACTCTTCCAAGATGAGACAAATGGTCTACTGCTACACAGGTCTTCATTTGCTGAAACATTTTGGTACTATCAGAAAGACTTGTCAATGACGTGCAAGGTTGACCAAAAGTGTAAGGTCCTGTGTGTGCTTCCATATATCCAAAAAGCAAGAGAGAAAGGTGTTGGAAAGCTTGGTTGTACCACTACTTTCCATTGGACCACAACTTATTCCACTATGCAGGCAGTACAGTAGCTCCCTTGTCTCTGCAAAGTGGTGTGTTAGATGTGAGGAAGTTCTTTGCTTGTAGTAGGTGTACCTGTGAAAGTCTCTTTGTATCTGTTGCCTTGTTGCAAGTTGCGGGTTAGTTTAATTCCAGTACTGCTGTCACACATTCTCACCACTATGTTACTGCAAAAGAGAGCACAGGACAAAGTTAGTAGAATAAAAAAAAAGGGGCAAAATTGCCACATATTTCTGTCAGCACCTGGGATGTCCTCCCGATTACCAACACAAAGATGGGAAACAGCCTAGGTATACACCCAGAAGTTTTGTCCTAAGTACAGTATAGGAGAACTTTATTCACCCAATAGCAGCACTAAACGAGATGCCTCATGAAGTATCTTTTAATTTAAAGTATTTCTAACTGAGCTATAGTCAGCTTTCATTAACCTTTCCAACACAAATAAAATTTGTGTAATTTTTCTATTTCTTAACCAGTTCTCTGTTTCCTCTTGTTTAACATGATGCACCCTAAAAGTCCTAGTCTGGATTCCAGCTACCAGCTTTGAAAGCTCAATAGCAAGACATGAACAATATCATCACTCAGTCTTTCCTTGGTATTACATCTTCTGAGGTAATACAGCTCCCCAGTGAGAACCTTAGTAGCTGACTAAGAAGGTCTTCAAGCCAGCGGTGAGATGTTTGTGCAGAAACCAAATAGTCCCAAAAATAATGGTTGGGAAAAGTGTATTCCCATGCTCTGGCAAGAGTATGTGCAAACCTAGGGCAGAGCAATCAGTTTAGAGGCTCCTGGCCACATGGGAGCGAATCTGTGCAGAGAGGAGCTTCCCTTGACCTTCTCCATACATCATCTCAGGTGCTTTGCAAACTACAGCAACTGCAGAAGAATAAACCATATATACTTACTGGAGGCTGATATTCTCTAGCAGTTGGAAAGAGTTCTTCATTCTGTGAAGCTCTTGTACCTGTACTGGATGACCAGCATGAATAGCTCCAGTGATGTCCAAAGCCCAAGAGTCTCGCTCCTCCCTGGAGCAACATTCAAGGAAGTAGTCTGTATTGGTTTTTGTCTTTAGCTTGATGAGTAGCTGTGGAGAAAGAAGGGCAAAGCAGTAAGATCATTTAGCTATTGTCCTCCACGTGCATTAAGTGACACAAGTAAGTCTGATATGCCATCCCACCTGAGCAGAACAGAACAACTCTTGGCCAGAAGGATGGTGGGCACAACTCTGGGTTGTTCTATTTTTTGCTTTCCCCCTCCTCAGATCCCTGTGTTTTCAGTTCCAAGCACAGTTTGTATGCATGGAAGCTTGTGGTACTTAAAAGCAAGCAGACCACCCAGAAGAAGAGGAAAAGTCTAGGGAAAAGTTAGAAAGTGAGTTCCACAGAGAAGGGATACATTTTTCCATTCCTACCGGTCTGTTTTCATATTCCAGGCATGGACAAGTAATAGTGCAGCCATCCAAAAGGATCCTGCCCTTTGGAGAAGGCTCCTTCTTGCCTCCTTCAATTTTGTAATACAGCAGCTTATCCTGAAGCAGAACAAACCATCTCACTTTCCAGTTACGAACAATGTGTCCCTAGAGGGGAAGAATCACATAGCTAACTTTAATACAAGCGTTGAGAAATTAACATATTTTCCTTCTTGGGGGAGGTGAAAATACCATAAAATAGTAGTAAATGGTATGAAAAGAATCACAAGAAGTCATCATGAGTCCTGTCCTTCCTGAAATACAAATTTCTAGTACCTAAGCAGCACAGCTCCATCACTAACAAACTCATGGAGCAACAGAAAGGTGCTTTGCTCTTTCTCTAGCAAGGACATCTTCTTTTCCAGCAAGAGTTGTTTCTAGCAGAAGCTCACACGAATTATCCCCAAAAGCTGTAATTTAGGAGCATGCCTGCCCGCTGACAGCACCAGGCAGGAACAGGGCTAAACCTGAAATGTATGAGGGCTTTTGGAGACAAACTCCTCCTCTCCGGGAACCCTGGATGGTGTTTGATGTGTTTTGTTTTCTGTCATTGTGATGTGGCTACAGGTGCCAAGTGGTTTTGAAAGCACCTTCCTGGCGGAATTGGCTTTTCCTTATATCTCCTCTTACTGCTAATGAGCGGTTTATTTCTATCCTACCCGCCTCCAATCTCCTGGGCTAAAACATTCCCTGTGTTACGGTTTCTTGTAAAGGAAATGTGCTTTTCTATGACAAAAGACCGAGCGAAGGCTGCTGTCGAATGCTTCCTGCGTTATATCGGAATACAGACAAAATCCCTTCTTTCCCCTCTGCAGACAGCCCCCGGCTCTCGTTAGTCTGGCTATACAGGAGAGCAAACCCAGCGAGGGCTGACACCAGCAGGCTCAGTCCTGTCTCGAAGAGTAAGGCCCAGCTTCCTGGGGTGAGGAGCCGACTTGTGTTTCCGCAGGCTCCGGAGCATTGCAGCCAGCAGGCGGAGCACTGGGTGGAGGAAGCTCTGAGACCTGGGAGAGGGTGGGCATAGCTAGCGGAAAGGAACATGCAAAGTCCAGTTGTGGCAGGAGTCAAAGCTCATTAATTCTCTATGAGTAAAGGGGAAACCCAGCAATTTCCAAGAAAAGGTGGGGTAATGAGTCTCTAAAATCCAGGGCAGTTTAAGTCTAACGCCTTTTAGTCTATACGAAGTACAATTTATCTAACTTGGGTTTGTTCTCTCCTTTCCTTTGCATTCTTCAGTGGTGTGGTTTTTTTTTCTTTCCACCTGTTGTAAAGTCCCTTGGCCATTTTCCATGAGAATATGTCCTTTGCTATGGCTCTTTTGTTTCCTTTTTGGAGATTTCCTCTTTTTCAGGAGGTTGCCTTACCTTTTTTCCTCTATATTTACGTGACTTCCACACATTTACTTTATAATACATTACATAATTCAGACATTTATAATGCATTTAGATAATCTCCTTGCTTCTGCTCTCTTCTTAAGAAAGCTCTGTTTTCATTTATCTGATCCCACCCCTTCCTCTTTTTTTCCCCCTCAGGATCTCTTGTTCCCTTCTCCCCCAGTTTCCTTTAATCATATTCTTTGTGGTCTCCTTCCTATCAAACTGTCTATCTGGGTGATGCTGTACAGGCTGCAGGTGGTTACAGCTCAGTGTGCTGCCGATAACATATTCCTCTCACACACTTGGTGCCCTGGCTTCCCATCTTGAATGCAGTAGTTATTTAAGAGCCACAAAATACAACTGTAGCCCAGAGAAGAGACCAGGAGCTGGGACTGCTCTGCCCTCACTGCACAAGGGATGATGAACAGCTCAGGCTGTGCAGCCCTTCTCTGCATAGAGCATGGCTTCACGTGGCTCGTGGCTGGCCAGCCCTGCCAGGAGGGCTCCTGACCAGGATTACCTTCATGTCAGCACCAGGAGCACTGCCACGTACTGTAGAAAAGCATTTCCTGAGGCGTGGTAAACCTTTGAACAGATCACATTTTTGGTGTGTAATCAAGGACCATATTAGTCATTGAAACAGGTTCTTGGTACTAAAAGCAACTTAATGCTGCTTGTTAAATTGCCTTCTTGTCTCCCAGCTATAACTAACTTGGTCCTGCAGGGAAAAGTGCTGGAAAGGCTGAAATGTGTGACACCATCTTTCAGCTATTTTCTCCATGCTTTGGCTAGAATTTTCTTACAGTGCAGTCTGAGAGGTGTGGGAAAAAGTTATTTCAAGCATACTTCCGTGTTTGCATTGCTCTGGTCCCCTTCAGATGGAATAGCCTGTTCTCCATCCCCTCACATGAAATGGGAAATGCAGCTCAGCTGGGTCACTAAAGAAGGCACAGACACCTTCCCACTCTCCATCCTCCCATGGCCACTTCCTCTGCTGCCATGTAGCCATTTGCTGGTAGTTTTTTATGTGTTCCTTGCAGAGGCACGGACACGATTGCTTTCTGGTACCCGAGTAATGCTGATGGCTAATTCACTTTCCCCTGAGTAAATAGAGGGCCAATACAGGGAAACTCAAGGGAGGATAATGAGCACCTGCAGTTCGTGCAGCTCCCCTGGCATGCATCTGCACAAACCTGAAGGAGCTCGTTTCCCAGGAGCAGGCAGGAGCTCCTCATATCCAGCACCCAGTGGTCTGCCTTGCCACAAGCCCTGGCTCAACCCAGTTCCTGCTCAGGGGCTGCTTCCACGTTGGAGCAGAACTGCACAGAAGGGGACGGATACACTCACCCGTTTGACGAGGAAGCCCTCCTTCAGCACTCCAGCTGCTTCCTGCATCGTGGCCAGCAGGGAAGAGAGCCGAGCCCCTGCCGAGAAGTGCCCAAGCCCTGGCAGCCTGTCCCTCTGCGTGTGATTTGTTTAAGAAAGCTCATTTTTCTTTACTACCCTCCTCCTCCAATGTGACGCAGTCTCCCTTCCCTGTTTTTTTCTCCCTCTCTTCCTACCTATGAGACATAGGTTAAACAGTGAGCTGGCTCTGATACATTACCTGCCCTCTGGGAAGTGAAACAAAGGAAAGTCTAAAAAGGATCTCAAAAGAATTTCACAGACTTTAGTATAGCAAAATGCACCACCGAGTGAGTTGGCCAATGGAAGTAGCCACATGATGACAAACCAGGTATTGCATGGGAGGGAGAAGCAGAATTATAAAATCACATGCCTCAAAACTTCAGACTAATCAAGTCTACCACTTGAAATATCTCATCTAATAAATATATCCTCTTAGGGGTCCTGCAGAACACCTGAAGTGTAACACATAAAATATTATGATTACAAGGAGACTTTTACAAACCTTAAAATAGTTTCTTTTGCTAGAAATTTATTTTACTGAAGAAGTTCTAAAGCACCACTCTGCTTTCAGGGACCTCTGGGCACAAACCCTAAGATTCCCAAGTTAACACCCTAAATGCCTACGTAAGCAACTATTAAGGCTTTTCTTTTAGTAAAGCAGTCTGATCAATGAACACCATGCAGTGACCTCTTGCAACTCCTGGGCACCTCTGAAACAGAGTGCCTTTTGTTTGTCTGAATACGGGATTAGGTATCTACTGCGTTTTTGAAGACTTTGCCTATGATAAACCTGTTTGACAGATTTAGCAGATCTTGTCCTGATGAAATAAACCAGTGTTGGTATTTCAACAAATCAACACCAACTGTGCAGGAGTAATAGTCTTCACTGTGCTGTTAGCATTTTCTGACTTGTATCAAAATCGAGGTAATATGTGGGCAGAGCTAGCGGCTGTGATAAGAAACATGATGTAGATGGTAACAAATAAACAAAAGCACTCGTTGCTACTTAAAGAGAGTGTTCAGAGTTCAGTAAGATAAAGTGACTCAAGTATCTCTCAGTCTTTACACACCAGATCTAATTACTGCTTTCATGTTCCAAGGAAAGGAACAAACTAATAATTCCTTTATATTTTTTTTGTCACTTTTAGTGAGGCCGAACAAAGCACTGAAGAATCCAAACCTGACAATGTACTGGAAACAACCCAGAGAACAGTCCTGCAGAGAGCATGAGAAGGACAACGCGTGACTGAACACTACCTGAAGTTAGAGAATTCGACTGCTGTATAAAGAGAAAGCATGCTGGCCGACACTTCAAAAGCAGCTGGCCCATGTGGAAGTCACCTGTGTAGCTCCTACTGTACTCCCTTTACCACTTTGGAGAAAGCAGGCAGCCACGAGGCAACCGGCTGCATAAGTCATATCCCAGTTATGTTTGTTCTTCAGTCCACCTAGTATAAGTACAGTAAGTTTAACAGAACACCTTAGAGGAGTATTTTTTGCTGTATGTGTGTACTATTTTCAAAGATACAAATATTCTATTTATATGTTTTATATATTATAGTGGCCTTAAAATAAAGCAGAAAAGAACTGAGTGTATTTCTTTCAATTTAAAAAATAATCTCTGTCCTGGCACAAATACATAAATATACATATAAATAAAAAGCTGTACTCTGAAGCAGAGTCTTGGGAAAAACCCCAATGCAGTCAGCAGGCAAAAAGAAAATAAACTTCATTTCACAATGTTCTGTACATCAGAATTTAACTTGAAAAAAAAGAAAACTTGAGTCTAGGTACATAAGAGACATTACTGCTGCATGCACTGGACATGCACTCTTTATATAACCAGCTCCAGGAATACAGTGTTCCCCCATTCGGTATTTGAGGTTTGACTCCACATTGTTCAAGCTTGTTACTGCAGGCAATTTATAACAAGGTGTATGAGGTAATTTCATGCTAGTGAGGACAGGCAGAAGCTTGCAGGGTGCTCTCGCTCAGACAGTGATCTCAGCACTGCACCACAACCAGTCCTCGCGCAAGATCCGAGTGAGCTTTTTCTCTGGCATGCAGACCACCCGCAACCCTGCAGACAGACCTTGGGAAAATTACCATTAGCAACAAAGAATTTTATTGTCAAACTGCTGGTGAATGGTGAAGCAAATGCTGCTGTAGCTGCTCATTAAGTAAAAGGTTTTGTATCGACTACTTCTTATAATCTAGAGCCGCCACTTTCTTCAATACTTCAAAGTATTTCTTCAGTTCTTTGGATATTTATCACACACACACACACCCTTCCCTCGTCTCATTCTGTAGTTAATCACAGCTAACAAACTGCCGCTATTCTGCTCCCTGAGGCTGAGTGAACACAGATCTTCCAGGATCATATAGTGAAAAACGAGTCAGTAGATCTGGGCTGCCATTTCCACACACGTGCTGGGAAGGCAAGTTCTAGCACTGAAGTCTCCTGGTGGAGATGCTTCCATCTGTACAAACCTAGGGAGCTCTTTATCAGGTCTTCCATGGGACTGGAAACTCATTGAAGGGAGGACTACCTGGTTCATCAGATCTGTTTCAGAATATTTCCCACACATCAGTGCAGTATTTTAATGAAAGAGCACAGCTGAGTGCTTAACATATTCTTCTGTTCAAAGTGTCCCCAAAATACTTTATAGGTTTTAGAACCTGCATTGGGATGGCCTGGAAGAGACAGCTGCAGGACCCCAGGACAGTATTCACGGTTAGAGGGAAGGGCAGGAGTAGGCAGCTCTTACACTGTTTCAGCTGGGTGACCTGACAGACACTGTCGGTACCTCCAGGTCAGTCCCTCAAGAAGCCACGAACTGCTAATAAAGAGAACCTGCCCACAGGACAAACCCATCCCATGCTCCACAAAGCCTGTCATGTATCATTGTGGCACACGGGCAATTACATATACTTAACTTTTTCAAAGCACTTTCTTAAGATACTAGGATTTTGCCCTCTGGTGTAGGATTAGGGATGAAAAAAGATGAAAAGAAACCACATCAAAATAAGGAATGATGAAATATTTCTAGATAAAAATGAAAGATGACAAGTGTTCAAAAGAATTCTGACGTAACAGCAGGACGTGTAAAAAGGTGGCACTGTTTGAAAACAGTTGTTTAATTGTCTAGACTGGAACAAAAAGCTATCAGAAATTAAATACTGAAGTGTAGATTCTGCTATGAAGAACAACATGCCAGCTCCACTGCATCTAAAACAACACCTGAGGGCCAGAATTGGAGAGAAAACAGCAAGGAACTGTCACTGGATTAAAAGCCTGACAAATCACAACAGTCTCAAGAAAGCAGGGCACCCCTTCTTCAGCAGCCCTCATCAGGAACAGGATAGAGGGCTGTGTGTTACCAGACTGTGCACCTGACCTGAGCTGGTACCCCTGGTTGGTTGGGGTTTTTTTTTGTATTAATGAGTCCTTATCAGATGTTATAAGTAAAACTGTTTCCAAGCTGCCAATCTTACAAAAATAATTTGTGATATGAAAATCATGCTGAGATCCTTAGAATTAACACATCAGGCCAAGCCCTGTTCACAAATACACCTTTACCTTTCCCTTCAGCTGACTAGCGCTAGTGGAGATTTTGGCCTTGCAATTACAACTGAGTAAACAGCACAACTGCTAACGAACAGCAGGAATATATGACCTTCTTCAGCAAAGGCATTCACACAAAATCCACAACCCTTATTTTAAGCAACTGGGAAGCAAACGCTGTTCCATGCATACCGAATACACCAGTTGAGATAGAAGGTATCACCTCAGGAACTTCTAAAAGATCCTTAAGCCATGGGCTACAGCAATGGATGCAGCACAGCTGAGGCCCAGCATGAGCTTCATGGGTTCAGTGCTGCCTTACACCCCCCTCGAAAGCAGCCATCTTAGACCCTCTCCTTCCACCTACTGCAACTCTTGAGAAATATCCGCTAAGTTGCCTTGCATCTTCTACGCTTCTTGGTTAAAATGTGCTCAGGCAGCAGGAAAGCCTGATTTTATCTGCCAGGGTAGCAAGTGACTAACATGCATTTATCTTTAGCTGCTTTGTTACCATCCTCACCATCTCGGTCAGTTTTTTCCAGCACTCAGAATTGACACAGAACTGTGTTCACCAGCACACTAAGGATCCTATCAGAAAAGCTCCCGAAACCACTGAACAAGTTCAGCAGACTTTGCCCTAAGTTACCGACAGAAACAGTGCTCACCTAAGTAACACACCAAAACAGCTCTGTAACATAACATCTGTGGAGATTATACTAATCTTAACACCTTGATAGTACGCCAAGGAAAGAGTAGGTGTGGCTCATTTTTCAGTGCTTTCCTTTACAGCATTACTTTGGTATATAGATCACATGTTGACTAAGTTTTTAAGCACTTTGCTCTTCAGTCTGAGTATCCACATGTTGTGTTTAATGGAATTCAAAACACTTCCAGTGAATGGGCAGAGTTGGAAGAGCTGTTCAAACAGGAAGCTGACATTATCATAATTTTAAGCAGCTTCTGAAAAGGCAACAATTTGAGAAAATAACCATAAAAATATATTATTTCTTCACTTCAGTGTGACACATCTAGATATTTTCTTACATTCGGTAAAGACATTATTTAACTTTCTTGGCTTTGCATTACTATCAGAGTCCACATGTAGCCAACCCTAATAATCAAGCATGGATTGCAATGCATATACCCTTTCCGAATGCCTTTTGTGGCAACACCATATAGCAATGATATTGTTTGTACTGTGGCAGCATTAAGAATTCCTAGTTAAGGCTCAAAGCCTCATTTTCCCTGCATTTTTTCCTTTAGCAGCACAAAATATTAAGAAAAAAAATGGGATGGGCAATATGGGACATGACAATAAAAAAAAAAAAAAAGAAGATAAATATATTTAAAAATGTAGCAATTGGAAAGGTTAGTTCTTGGTTTACAAAAACAACCTCCTCCCACCTGCCAGTTCTCACAGACA